CTTGGAGCTTAAAGCAAGAAACGTTGACCTTGAGTCCAGGTGCTTCTTGTTTTGCTACACAGGGTCCCCTGTCCTGGTTCACATCCAGGCCAGCTGCTCCCCAATCTTCTCTCTCTTTCTTTCCCTTGACCCCTTTATCCTACACGTCACCCCCCTCCCCCCTGCCCCCAGGCAGCCTTGGAATAATATGTGGGATTTTCCTTCTGAGATCTGGCTCAGGCAGTAGTATAGTAGCTTTGCTAGTTTCCCCCCTTTCCCCAAGGGCATGATGCACCTTCTCAGGCTGTGGTCACATGACCACCTGCAGAAAACATCCCCAGAGTCCCAGCCGCCTGCAGAGCAAAGGGGACTCCAGCACCTGAACGTGGTGGCTGTGGCTCCTCACCCTGTGTCACATCCACTGGACCAGCATTGTCTGAGGGTGGGTTACAGGCCAGACACCCGTGCGTCAGCCAGGGTCTGCCTCCCTGCGCCAGGTGGGGACTGTGGGCGCGTCCGTGTTGCACTGCTGTCCAAGCCAATGCTTTGGGGGCTCGTTACGTGGCAGTTTGACGAAGCGTCCCGGGACCACCGAATGTCCACGTGCAAGAGTGGACCCGCTACCTCTCACTTCGTCCACAAAAATTAACTAAAACTAAAGTGGAAGTCTAGCCCTGACCGGTAGGGCTCAGTTGTTTGGGTATCATCCTGCAAAGTGAAAGGTTGCCAGTTCGATTCCCGGTCAGGGCACATGGCCAGGTTGTGGGTTCGATCCCTGGTCAGGGTGCCTACAAGAGGCAACCGATGGATGTTTCTCTCTCACAGTGATGTTTCTCTTCCTCTTTTTCTCCCTTCCTTCCCCCTCTCTAAAAAAATATTTAAAAAATTAGCTCTAAATATAAGAACTAAAACTATTGAACTCCCAGAAGAAAATGCAAACATACATTTTCTTGACACTGGTTTGCCAAACCTCCTTAGATACCACACCAAAAGCACAAGCAACAAAAGAAAAAATAGGCAAGTTGCACATCAACAGAATTAAAACTCTTGTGTCTCAAAGGACACCATCAGGACAGTAAAAAGCCAGCCCACAGCGTGGGAGAAAATCTTTGCACGTCACACATCTGGGAAGCGGCCTGCATGCAGAATACATAGGAATTCTAACAACTCAGTAATGAAAAGACGACCCAACTGAGAGATGGACAAAGAATCTGCCTTGATTTCCCCAGAGAATATATACAACGGCCGATGAGCCCAGGAAAAGATGCTCAACATCCCACGGCATCCGGAAAACGCCAATCAAAACCACAGTTAGATGCCACTTCCCACCCAGGATGGTTCGAATCACGAAGTCAGATCCTAACAAGTGCTGGCCAGGGTGCGGAGAAGCAGAGCCCCTCGTGGGTTGCTGGTGGGGACGCAGAACAGCGCGGCCACTGTGGAAAAGTCTGGTGGTTTCTCAGAAAATTAAACGCAGAGTAATCATAGGACCCAGACATGCCAGTCCTCGGGAGGGAGATACGTGTCCACACCTGTCCTTAGTCACGTTACCCAGGACGGCTAGAAAGTGGGGAAGTCCAGGAACTGATGATGAGTGGACAAGTGAATGGATAAACGGAACGTGGCATATCCATGCAACCAAATAGCATTTAGCAACAACAAGGAGTGGCGTGCTGGTAGATGCTACAACACGGATGACCCTTGAAGACATTATGTAGATACACATATGCATGTGGTTATAGAACGTATATGTAGACAAACGGCCACCTATTGCATGATCCCACTTACATGAAAAGCCCTGAATAGGCAAATCCACAGACAGCAAGCAGACCAGTGGCCTCGGGGGGAGGGGTGACCGCTGAGGGGGACGGCCGTATCGCTGGGGTGATGAACACATACGGACTTGACCGTGCCCACCGCCACACAGCCCTGTGACTACTATTCCAGAAGCCAGGGACTCGTACACTTTTAAATGGGTGAATGGCGTAGTCTGCGAATTATATCTCAGTAAAGCTGTTATACAAAAAAAAAAAATCACGTGACAAGGGTCCCGGATCACCCAGAGGGCTTGAGAATCTGCACGCGGGCGAGTGATGGCTCTGTGAGGCCGGCCAGTCTTCCACGGCCGGAACCCGTCCATCCCCTCAGCTGGCAGACGGCACTGGGCCGGTGTGACCAGAGGCGGAGACCCTGACCTGGGCAGATTATCCTCGACGATACGAGCGTGCCCCTCCGGTCACCCGAGTCCTTAGAAAGCGGAGGCCCTTTCCCGGCTGGACCTGACGAAGAAGGAGAGCGTCCAAGCCCTTGACCTTCTGCGGCTGGCTTTGCAGACGGAGGCCGGAGGGCCACAGCCGGGGAATGTGGTGACTCCTGGAAGCTGGGAAACAGGGATCTCAGTCCCCAGCCGCGAGGAGCGGAATTCCGCCGACCCCCGACAGAGCAGGAGAAGGGCCCTCCTGGGAGGGAAGGCGGTTCTGCGGCCCCTTGGGTCGAGCCCGAGACCCGTGTGGGGCTCCTGACCCACAGGCCTGTGAGATAACAGATTTGTGTTCTTTTTTTTTTAAAATTCACTTTTAGAGAGGGAAGGGAGGGAGACAGAGAGAGAGAGAGAGAGAAACATCAATGTGCAGTTGCTGGGGGTTATGGCCTGCAACCCAGGCATGTACCCTGGCTGGGAATCGAACCTGTGACACTTTGGTTCGCAGCCCGTGCTCAGTCCACTGAGCCACGCCAGCCAGGGCATATTTGTGTTCTTTAAATCACTCAACGGCGGCCCGTCGTTCTGGCAGCCAGAGAAAGCCAGCACACAGCGGCTTCGTGGAGACTCTACGAAGCTGATCTCCGAAAAAAAAGAAAAGAGCCCTGAGCTTTCTCACGTCTACGACACCTGTTCTCCCCTCCCCACCCTCTGGGAAGAGCAAAGCGGGACCAGGCAGAGCGGACGCAGTGAACGCTGCCTGACAATGGAAGCTCCACAGACACCTCCTGTGAGTCATTCGTCAGTCCGGGGCTCAGCTTTCCACGTCTGCGAGGTGGGCACGTACCTGGACCGCTGCCCGCCCCGCGATCCGGGAAGGCACAGCAAACCTGCTCCCGGATGGCTGGCTGCAGGGCACTCCTGGGCAGGCCCGGGCCCCAGGGAAGCTCACTCCTTCCTCTGGCTTCCTTCGGAGCGTCTGGGGCACAGCTGGTCCCCGGTGACGCGGCCTGGAGCGTCTGCTGTTGGCTCAGAACCGAGAAAAGCTTCGGGTCGGCTACGGGGCGGAAGCCAATGACCAGGTCCTGGATGGATGAGGATTCAGGACTTTTGGTTTTGGGGGCAGCACTCTCACACCCGACTGTCGGAATGCAGCCCGACTGTCTGCGTGATGGAGAGAAAGCGAAGCAATAGGCCGGGTTGGGGGAGAAGGCACCGCATGGGGAGGAGGCTGGGAGACCAGAGAAATAGAGATACCCCGGTGCCAATGGGGGAACAGGTGTGACACCCTAGGTTCATTTCCACCCCTCCTCAGTCCCCACCCACCAACGGGTACATGAGCACACATGTTTTTTTAATGAGCTGGCCACAATGGACTGGCTTGGGGGTGTTTTCAAAGACGCCTTCAAGGTGCCCGAGCATCTCGTGACGGCTGTGCGGGCATCTGGAAAGGGTCCCTCTGCTCGCCTCGGCCTCTGGGCACCTGCCTGCTCCCTGCTGTGCCTCCCTTGGCCTGGGTCTGCATAGTTGTGTGGGTGCATGGCGCGCCCAGGGTTACAGAGCATGGCAAGGCCTCTGGACCGAGAGTCCTGATGTTGCCCAGGCTGGTCTGGCTGGCCCCCACCTAGGCCCTCCTGCCACTTCCAGGTGTGGAGGCAGCCACTGGGTAGCGGGTTCCTCCATCCTCTGAACGGGCCCCACTCAGGATGGCTGAAACCTTTCCCGGGGTGCACAGCCCACTGCAGGCCCCCAGATGGCCGTGGCCTTGATGGCAGGGGCGCCCAGCCCCCCTTGGTTCCCCAGCCTTCCCGGAACCCTCTTGCCCAACATCCTGTGTGGTCATCAAGCCTGTTGTCCTGCTTAGTCCTGCTTAGTCCTGCTGGCCACTGCCCAGTTCCTTCTGCTGGTTCCTGACCCTCTCCCTCTGCAAGAACCTTCCAGAAATAAAACCTGCTACACGTTTCCGGGCTCTGGCCAGAATCCATCTTGGGGCTCTTGGGCAGAGCTGGGCATGCATCCTCCTGTGTCTGGGCTGGGGAGAGGGTAGGTCTGGAGAAGGCACAGGGTGGGAATGGGGGATCTATGTCCAGGAGGTAGTCTGGCTGGCCAGGGTAGCACTGCCCCTGCCTTAATTAACCCAGGGTCACTGAGGGTCTGCTGAGAAACAGGAAGGAGCAGCTGTCTCCATAACTGCTGGGGTCCCACTGGGTGCACTCACAGCGCCGTGGGGCTGGGAGAAAAGTGGGCACAGGGCTGCTGCGGGGCGGGGGGAGGCGGGTACTGCGAGAGAATGGTCAGGGGTGGGGTGGAGGACCGGCACACCACCCACTGGGTGCACTTATCCACCTCACCGTCACCCTGCAGAGAGGGGGCCCTCTTCACCTTTGCTGTTCTGCTAATGAAACCGCAGGAGTGCAGGCTACCGCTTACTGAGCACTTATCCCAGGCCCGGTAACCCGCGGGGCAGGCACCCGCTCACTGCCCTCTGGCCCGCGTGAAGAAACCGAGCCTCAGGCCACGGGGGAAAAGCAGGGACTTGGAGCTGCCTGGCGAAGTCGTGGCAGTGGCGTGCTCTCTGACCCCTAGGTCATTACTCTGGGTGTTGCAAACAGGGTGAACCAAGCTGCTCCATCAGACCAGCCACCCAGGCAGAGGAAAGCAAGGCCTGGGGAGGGCAGGTGACCTGCTCCCACAGCTCGTGCGGGATTCTGGGGAGGAGCCAGCAACCAGGCTCCCTGGCCTCCTTCTGCACACGACCACTTCCCTCGGCCACTCGTGTGTCTCACAAGGCAGCCCCTACGATGCACAGCAGAGCCCCGGGCGGGAGACCGGCTGCGGTTGGGAGGGAGGACCGGCCAGTTGCCCGCCCCTTTTGCTCCTGAAAGCCGCGGATCTGAAGGAACTGGGAACTCGTTCGGAGGCCCCGCCTGCTCCTCCCGGGACCGCCGGAGCCAGGGGGCGTGGCCTCGTCTGCGTCTCCGTCTCCGCCTTGAGCTCCGGGCTCTGTCCCGCTGCGCGCGCGCGCGCACCTTGCCTGGGGCCTCCCCGCGCGCGCGCGCAACCCGGACCAGGGGACCCCTGCGCGCGCGCGCGGAAGCCGCCTGGGTGTGAGGCCCTGGGAGCCGCGCTTCCGGGCAGGGGAAGGGCGGCCGGGCTGAACTTGGCCTCACGCCCCCTCCACCCCCCACCCCGCTCGCTGTCCCCGGTTCCGCTGGTGAAACCCGATCGCGCGTCAGGCGCGGGGCCGCGTGACGCGCACCTGTCGGGTCAGCCCAGGCCCGCGGAAGACCATGCGCGGGGCCCCGGCCTGAGCCCGGGCAGCAGCGCCCCGCTCTACGCGCCGCCCCGACGTTCCGCGGAGCAGCGGCCGGCTCTGATGGCTAAGACGAAGTAAGCTGCCTCTCCCGCTTTCTCTCCGGCTCCTTTGGCCACATGCGTTCCTTCTGGCCGGATGGCGGCTGCGCGCGCGCGCGCGGGGCCGGACCAGAGGTCGGTGGGTCGGGCCGCGGGCCCGGGAGGCCGGCCACGCGCGGCTGTTAAACCCTTGGGCATTTTGTCGGGAAGAGTCACCTTCGCCACCGCCCGCCAGCCTGCAGCCGCTGGGAACCAGGCTGGGCCAGAGCCTGCCCGAAACCTCCTCCCACCCTCTTTCTGCAAAATAAATTAATTGTTCACGTCCACCTCGGCCAGATCCCTGGGCACAGGTTCTGTTTGTCGGTGGTTCGGCGGCAGGCAGGCAGGCCGGCCCCTGTGAGGCGAGTCCAGAGGGACCAGTGGGGTCCCTTCCTAGGCTTTCTGGAATTGAGTTCACCGCGAGTAGGGACTCATTGCTTTTTCATGGGATCTGCTTAATCTTCGGCTTTAACCCTCAGGTTTCAGTCAGAGATTCCAATACACCCAACGAATGGTTTTCCAGAAGCAAACAGGCCCAGAGCTCTGAAAATCAGCTCACTCAAATTGGAAAGTTTTGCCAGAAATGAGAACTGGAAAAATCATAAGCCCGAATTCCCTGCCCCCCACAACCCCGTGCGGCTCCCACCCCACCCCCGCTAGGCCAATGGCCCACCAAATGTAGCAGATGAGGGAAAACTGGTGTACAGTGGGCACATTCTAAATTGTTTTCTGCATTCTTTGCAGAGAGGGATGGCTGAAAGAATTTCTGAGCTTATAGGGCTAACCTTTTTTTTTTAAAGATTTTATTTATTTTTAGAGAGGGAAGGGAGGGAGAAAGAGAGAGAGAAACATCAATGTGTGGTTGCTGGGGGTCATGGCCTGCAACCCAGGCATGTACCCTGACTGGGAATCAAACCTGCAACACTTTGGTTCGCAGCCCGCGCTCAATCCACTAAGCTACGCCAGCCAGGGCAGGGCTAATCTTTTGGTAAGTTTTAGGAGCACCTGAGAGAGAAAAATGCTCTGTGTTTGGCGTGAACAGAGCTCGCTTTTGCAAGAGCGTTTTGTGCAACTGTTTCTTTGAGGTACATGATTGCTCAACAAATAACCACTTGAGGCAAACATTCAAGTCAGTTGTATCCCACGTCTGGAGTTACTAAGTTACTCTTCTGGTCAGATGGGTTTGGGCCAGTTAAAAGGGAAATAGTTAAATCTGTGGGCAAGAAAAGGGAAACCAAGAGGCACCTTGGTCCTCTGTGGCCCGGCCACTTCTCACTTTATTGATGGCATTCGAACAAGACAAATGTCATCGCAGGTTGGCAGACTTCCCCTGGTGCCTGTCAGGCCCTCCCCAGGGCAGAGCAGGACGTCCGGTGCTGCTTTTTCCACTGTCCAGCGCTGGGAGCCAGGTGGCTCTTTGTCTGGGAGAGCTCTCACCAGCGTTGTCTCCCAGAGTATGTCCGCAGCCGTGATCTGGGTGGTGTTTTTTTTTTCAGCCAGGGGTTACCAGGAGGGGATGACTCCTATTTTACAGCTGGAGAAAAGGGCCTCAGTGGTGAAGCAAGAGCCTAGGGCTACAGCGTGAGAGGTTCGCCCTCTGGCTGTGTTCTTCGGGCCAGGTTATCCACCCCTCCAGGGCTGGGTGGGGACTTAACCATCTCAGCATCACGTCTGGTGCGTTTTTCGTCGGTGAGCCGGCTGTTCCTTGGCACGTCCTGTGTTGTGAGGCGGCCGGTCGGCCGCGCAGCTGTTCCAAGAAGCCAGCGAGAGACGCCCCTTCGCTCACGATGCTACTGGTTTCATAACAGTCGGAGCTAATGTTTCTTGGGCGCCCGCGCCATGCCACGCACCGTGCCAAGTGCTTTATGCGGAGCGTCTCATTTTGTTTTTATCGACTTGTTTTCCCACTCTGTGGCCGAGGGAGGGACAGAGAGGTTAAATAGCCTGCGTAAGGTCACACGGCTCGGCTCTCCCACGGCACCTGTTCGCCAGAAACGGAGCGGCCCTTCCAGGTTTTCACAAAGCAACTCGGGCCTGAACACAATGTTTTCGTGACGTCAAAAGGGAGAAGGGGAGTGAGTCACTGTTAGCCGTGTACAGCAGTCGGTGTTCAGGACACCTTGACCTCAGGGCGCGGAGCTGCCTCCCAGCTCCCGGAGCTTATGCAAGAGAAGGAGCCTGTTTGTTTAAACCGCGGACGTTCCCGTGTGTTAGCGGACCAGAAGGCGGGGCCGCACTGCTACAATGTTAGACATGTTGCCGTAGGGGGTTGCAGTCAGGCATGGGCAGGTTGAGGGGCGGTTGGCGCTGGAGCCAGTCTCTGCCCGTCTGTCCTCATCCTGTCACCTGTCTTGCTGCAGTAAGTGATTCTGCCTCCTGCACCCTCTGCTCCTTCTAAAAACAGGGACAATAGTAATGCCTCCCTCACAAGTGGTCACACGATGCACGTTGACTCTTAGACTAGCATTTCATGTGCAGTGTAACACTCTGTAAGTATCTCTTTTATGATTAATAGTATTGTTACAGGTAGCAAGCTGCTGCTAATATGTACAATGTCATGTATTCGTCTCCACTCGAGGTTCGTTCCTTTGTGTTGTGGTGCACGTGCAGAGAGCTCAGGCACAGGCGACAGAGGTCTTGTGCAAACCGGTGTATTCGTTCGTTCAGCAGGTGTTCGGGTGCACCCGCCGTGTGCCGGGCCCCTGTTCTGCGGGCCGGAGATGTGCAGTGGACGAAGCACAAACACTTCTGTCCTCACTGGCACTTACGCTCTGGAGGGGCGGGGTGGCAGACAATGAACAAAATCAACGTCCTTTTCTCACCCAGTGTGTTAGAACTAGGGGGACACATAAAGCAGGGGATGGCGTGGGGGTGGGAGGGTTACAGTTTTACACAGTCGGCCGAGAAAGCCTCACTGAGAAGGTGACATTACGGCCGGGACTCGAAGCAGTGAGGGGGCGGCCCATGTGGACATCTGCGGGGAAAAGTGGGTCAGGCAGCGAGAGCAGCAAGTACGAAGGCCCTGAGGCAGGGGGGTGGGTGTCTGGGGCCTAGAGGGGGGCGGGGAAGCAGGGAAAAAGACAGAGGTAGCAGGGGGAGGCCAGCCCGTGCAGGCCCTGCAGGCCACTGAGCAGAAGAAAGATGTGGTCTGGCCTGGGCAGGGACCGCTGGGTTCAGGGAGGGAGAAAAAGGGGAGGCCGGTGGGGTGGTTTTGACAGCAGGGCAGGCGGAGGTGATGGTGGTGGCCAGGACCAGAGTGCCGCGGGGGGAGGTGGAGGGAAGCGGGCGTTTTCCCCATCAATTTTGAAGATAGAAACTGTAGGGTTTGTGGGGGCTGGGGACCCCAAGGTTTCTGGCCCGAGTGGTGGATGGAGAGACCTGCCTTGTGCTGAGAGTGGGGGAGTCCGCGCTCGGAGCAGGCTGGGAGATACGTCCGTTTGATTTTCAACCTGATTTTCAACGTGGAAAGCGGCAGACGTGCAACTAGTGGTGTCACGGTAGCAGTTGGTGGTCTGAGCGTGGAGCTGAGGGGAGCAAGTCCAGACGGGGAAGCATGGACTTGGCAGACAGGCCAGTTGTGCTGGTAAATGTGTAACAACCCACTCTGCAGGGGGCAGGAGGTGGGGAGGGCTGGATTGCAGCCTTTGCCAATGACTGCTGGTAAACACCGCTAGCGGGCCAACTTCAAGCACATGTTACAGAATATCTTCTTCTTACAGATACAATAGTTGAAAGTAATGTCAAGAGCCTGGCTCGTAGTGACATGTAGCACAGTAATTAGGAAGTCATGCGTTTGGAGTATTTATGACCTGTGCTACAAATACAATGGGTGTAGCTATAAGTGTGTATACTTCCGTGGTTAATAATGGCTGTGCTTAACAGCTGGCTGGAACAATTCCTGAAAATTTAGCAGTTGAATCTTGTGGGCAGGTACAGGGCGGCTCTAGCACACCCCCTGAGTCTTTGGGACCCAAGGTGGGAACTAAACAGGGGATGGGAATAAGGACTCTCTCGGGTTAGGAAGAAGGGCCCTAGTGCGCGATCTCACACTGGTCCCCAGTCCAGCCCTGGGCGGTCGTTGCTGAAGGTCCGTCTGGCTTGCATGTGCGGGGGCGAGGAGGGGGGAGGGGTGGCACAGAGGGGCCCCAACAGACAGGAAAGAGCAGGAGAAAGGAGAGAGCAAGAGAGTCAGGGAGTAGAGAAGAGACCCGGCCCAGTCCCTGGTCCTTTAGTTGAAAAGGATCTTCAGTTTCCTTTGTTTTACTCCTACACATTCTTTTAAAAATCCCAAACTCCTGGGCTGTGGTTTGAAGAAAACCTCCCTCCTCCCCGCCCGGCAAACAGAAAGCAGAAGTCAAGGGAGCAGGGTGGCCACAGCCACTGACCTTTACCTCCCAGCCCCTCTCCCGCCCTTTGGCTTCTGGGAACAGAGGCCAGAGCCGTTTCCCCCTGGGGCGCGCCAGAAACCGCTGGCCCCGGCACAAGCTGGGTCTGCGCCGGGCCTGGGCAGGCACGGCTCTGTGGGTGCCCCCCCCCATAGCTGCCCCTTTCGCCTGGGCAGAGACAGAGACGGGAACCCTGATTCTGACCCAAATCCCCTGGCCGGGCAGTGCCCACAGCTTTGTGGATGTTACCAGAGCCGAGCTGCAAAGGTGAGTCCCCGGGGTGCTGGGCAGGAAGCCCTCGGTCTGCAGGTGGGGGCAGTGGCGGGGGTGCCTGGACAGTGGGCATGTGCCCTGTCAGTCCCGAAGCCAAGAGCAGCCCCGTCAGGGGGAAGACCCCCACACCCCCAAGGATGCCCCCACGGCCTGCACTTTGCAGTGAGGTGTGTTTCTGGAAGGACGTGTCTTGAACCATCACCGCTGTGTGTGAATGAAACGGCATTCTCCTGAGCACGGAAGGGGCGGCTCCAAAGAGCTTTGTCTTAACTTCCGAAGGACTCGGTTACCAGCTCATTGCCTCCTGTGTGCCAGCCCTGTGTTCTCCTGGCCCGCTGCCGTGGCCTGGGGCTGCAAGCGCTTAACTGCCCTTCCAGAAAGGTGGTGGGTGTCTCTCGGATAACAGTGATCTCCTTTCCTTGGGAAACGTAGGGCTTAAGGGCAGGAGATGCTGGCAGCGGCCCTGCGGCTCAGTCTCTCCCAGGCGGTGGATGAGGCCGCAGAGGCGCAGCCGGGGTAAAAGACGCGGCGTTCCAGGCAACGAGGCGGTTTGGTGGCAGGACCGGTGAGAACCACCTCGCGTGCTGGCTCACAGCCCGATGCGCTGCCCGCCCGGTCCTGTAGCTTCTCAGATGTTTCACTAAGGGCCTTCTGTCTGTTCATGAAAACGAGAAGAGGGTGTGTGGAGCAGGGTCAGCAGGGACAGCGCCGCTGCCGTGCCTTTGGCCGACTGCAAGTTCGTCATGTTAGCCGATTCCTCCCACAGCCCCATCCTTCTCGGGACCGGCCAGGAGGCGGGAGGAAGGGCTTCAGGAAAACCTTCCAAAGTGGAGCCTCGCAGGGGACGTGCTGCGGCCACCTGGCGTCCCCTTTTTTAGACGAGGAGACGTGGACCCAGCCCGACTAGGTGACTGAATTAGGTCATAGAGCTCGGAGGTGGCTTTGAGCCCAGGTCCTCTGCGCCAAATGCCACGCTGCATGGACACGGGGACTCGGGCTTCGTGACTCAACAGTCGGCCTCGCCTGCGGTGTTCTCGTCTGTGCGACGAGTGTCCGTCCCCGCAGAGTCTCCTTCCCCGGGGGGTGGGGTCCGAGGAACGAGGGACACAGCGTGTTTACGTTGTCCTCTGCACACGCGGGCTGTTGAACTGACCGTTAGGGATTGCCATCAAGCTCTCCGTAGTTAGCGGCCAGTCTGCAGGGGACGGGCCGGTTGAAACCACGGCAGGCGGTTTCGAAAGATCCCCTGTTTGCCCCCCGCCGGAGCCTGGAGCCCTTTGCCTCGGCGACGGCAGCGGGAGGCAGGTGCGGGGTGATTCCGGCGAGAACCGCCGCTCTGGACTCCATGCACAGCACTCCCGCGTCTCGCTATCCCAAGGGTGTTCTTCAGACAAGCCGCCAGCCTCTCAGGCCCTTCCCTGAACTCTCTGCGTCGGAATCTGTGTTTCAAGACCATCCCCAAGAGATTCAGATACACATTGAAGTTTGAGAAACACTGTTAAGGTTAAAAAACTGGCAGTAAACCAAACACACGCGCACACACCGCCCACACGGGGTCAGGAAAGAGACGCGGTCCCTGGAGTTGAGCAACCGCAGAGAGTAAGCAACGTTGTTGCAATACCTGGCGGCTCTGATGTGCTAGCTCGAGGGAGTTCTGGGGACATGCGCAGGAGAGGACGAGGGGGGCTAGCCCGGGAGACCTCCGCGTCAGAAGGGCATTACACAGAGGGCTTTGCGCGGTCTTCTGGCGCGGGGGGCTAGAGGTTCTGGCCCTTGGGGCTCTCTCCCCTGCCCGCCCAGGCCCCCCTGAAGCTCTTGAGCTCCTTCTGCTGCTTGTACCAGGCGCGTCCAGAACTCTCCGGCCAGGAGCCCCGAGGCGCAGCCTGCCAGCTGGCGGCCGCTCCCTCCCCAGGCTCTTCCCTGGGCCTCGCAGTTCTCGCTGCCTGCCTCCCGCACTGACCTTGCAGCTCTTCCTTCCCTCCAGACTGGGGCGGTTGCCAGTTAGGAAAGACATGCTTGGAGGGACAGGGACAGGGCTTGGAAAGCAGGAGAAGAAAGCGGAAGGGTCCAGTGGTCGCTCCTGATAGGGGGGTGAGCGCAGAGGAAGGAAGAGGGCAGGAGGAGCGAGGGGTCCCTCGGTTCGCCAGGGGAAAGCTCCGTGAGGAGTGTGTGTCCGGTGTCTCGTGGAGCCCGGCGCCAACGCCATTGTTGGACCCTCCTCTTGGTTTGGCTACTGACTGGTGCCGTCTCGTTGGGGGGGGGGGGTAGGTCTCGAGGGAGATGAGGACGAAGCGCAGGGAAAAGTGGGGGAGGGGTCAGAGTCAGGAGGCCGACCCGGGGCCTTGATGCAGGGGGTGAGGGAGGCCTGCAGCGCCCTTGTCAGTTCCTGTGATTTCTTTCTTTCATTCTTCCTTTCTTTCTTTCTTTCTTTCTTCTTCTTCTTCTTCTTCTTCTTCTTCTTCTTCTTCTTCTTCTTCTTCTTCTTCTTCTTCTTCTTCTTCTTCTAATAGAATATCTACTTTATTCTTTTTTAAAAGATTTCATTTATTTATTTTTAGAGTGGGAAGGGAGGGGAGAAAGAGAGAGAGAGAGAAACATCAATGTGCGGTTGCAGGGGACCCAGCCCACAACCCAGGCATGTGCTCTGACTGGGAATCGAACCTGCAACACTTTGGTTCACAGCCCGTGCTCAATCCACTGAGCTACGCCAGCCAGGGCTCTTTCTTCTTTTTTATAAAATATTTTTTTTTTATTTTTAGAGAGAGGGGAAGGGTGGGAGAAAGAGAGGGAAACATCCGTGTGTGGTTCCCTCTCATGCACCCCTTACTGGGCACCTGGCCCACAACCCAGGCAGGTGCCCCGCCTGGGAGTTGAACCTGCAACCTTTTGGTTCACAGACCGGCACTTAGCCCACTGAGCCACAGCAGCCAGGGTGGTTTCTGTGGTGTCTTTAAACCTGGATTTCACTGTCTGTGTAACCCGATGATGGCCCCATTGTGGAGGGTGTTGTTCATCCTTCCTGTGGGCGAATGCCTGTCAGGGACATAAACAGGCGCTAACCGGTCATCTCAGTCCTTCCTCGTGAGCGCCCCCCGGGCTGGGCCCCGCTCCCCTGTCTGTTCCTGAGACCCAGTTGCTGACCGTGGCTCCTTCCTTCCTCACTGGGTCTGCCCTCCCCTGGAAGCCCTGGCCCCAGTGGGTAGCTGGAGGAAGGGAGAACCGTGGCGTCCAATGGAGCCCATTAAGCTTTACAGCCTCGGCCAGACCGGAAGGCCGCAGAGAGCAGATCCTCCGATGCCTCTGTGCCAGGCCCAAGGCCTCTCGCTTTTCACCCCCATCGGCCGCTTCAGATTAGGCTGAAAACCAGCCGAGGTGTCGGGCCCCCCCGTGGGGAGGCCGCGGCGCACGGTCGCTGTGTGGTCAGCTCAGGGGCCGGGGAGGCTGGTGCCCGGCCGGCTCCCCTACCTTCTCACCTGGGGACCTTCGCCTGCCTGAGCCTCGGCTGTCCTACCCGCAGAAGGGCGACGAGGGTGATACCCACTCCACTGGGTCTTCTCAGGGCCCTGGCCCGTGTTCGGTGAGACCTGACGCACGCATGCACCGCGTTTGCCGCTCTTGTTGCCATCCTGCAATAATCGCTGCCGCTCACATGGGACTGAATGGGCGGTAGGCACCGTCCTAAGCACATTATGACAGTGAACTCCTCATAACCCTGTAACGGCCTTCTGATGTGGGGGCCTCTGTTACTCCCATTTCCATCGGGGAAACTGAGGTACAGAGAGGTTGTGTCACTGGGATTCAGCCTCAGCCATTGGGTCCCAGGTTCTGTGTCTGTAATTCCCACACTGTAGCAACAGTCTGAAAGCAAGTTGTCTGAGAGCCCCGTGGCCGTGGGAGGAGCAAAGCGGTGTGAGGGGAGGTGACCGGCGTCATCTGAGGGCCTGCCGCGTCCCTGAGCTGCCCTGGTGGCCTAGGGAGCTGGTGTGCAGGGCGACAGCCTGGCCCTGGTCACGAGCTGCGTGGCTCCAATCCCACGGCAGCCCCGTGGGCCTCCCCCGTGGCCCGTGCCGCCTTCCTGTAGAAAAATGTCCCACCTCTCGCGGTGGCCTGCCGCCTTCCAGGGCACAGTCCCTGTTTACATTGCAGGCTCTCTACCCACTGGCTTCCTGGAACAGAAGCAAGCTGCCAGGGAGGGAGGGGGAGGCTGTGAGCCTCTTAACATTTTCCTGAGAAACACGTGGCTGTGTCTTGCCAGGCAGGAAGTGTTCGGTGGCCCAGGAGTGTGTTCGCCCCATGTCGCAGCCACCGGGGCCGTGTCTGACCCTTCCTTGTTCCTTGTGTGTCTTCCCAGGCACCCTAGGCACCCAGGCTTTTGGAAGATGCTCCCAGTGGCCGTGTGGGTGGCCCTGCTGGGCTGCCTGCAGGCCCAGGAGCTCCAGGAACACGTCTCCATAATCCTGCTGGGAGCAACTGGGGACCTGGCCAAGAAGTACCTGTGGCAGGGCCTGTTCCAGCTGTACCTGGATGAGGCGGGGAAGGGCCATCATTTTAGCTTCCACGGGGCTGCTCTGACGGCCCCCGAGCAGGGCCAAGAGGTCCTGGCCAAGGTCCTGGAGTCCCTCTCCTGCCCCAAGGATGTGGCCCCTGATCGCTGTGCCGAACTCAAGGGCCAGTTCCAGCGACTGAGCCAGTACCGCCAGCTGAAGACTCCTGAGGACTACCTGGCCCTGAGCAAGGACATGGAGGCCCTGGTCCAGCGGGAGGGCCTCCGGGAGGCCGGCCGGATTTTCTACTTCTCGGTGCCCCCCTTCGCCTATGCGGACATCGCCCGGAGCATCAACAGCAGCTGCCGGCCGGGCCCCGACGCCTGGCTGCGGGTCGTGCTGGAGAAACCCTTCGGCCACGACTACCTCTCAGCCCAGCAGCTGGCCGAGGAGCTTGGGAGCTTCTTCCAGGAGGAGGAGATGTACCGGGTGGACCATTACCTGGGCAAGCAGGTGAGCAGGTCAGCTCAGAGCCTGCTGGGGTCGGAGTAGGCGGGGCCAACCCCGTGGGCGGGGCCGCACCACTCACTATGGAGTGGGGCCCAGAGGCAGGTGAAATCGGAGCTCCAGGGTCATGGTGAAGGTCAGAGGACTGAGGAAAAGCCGTGAGCAGGTCTGGGCGGCCCTTGCCCACGTGTCCCGCCCACTGCTGCCCAGAAGGGGCTGGGCCCTGCTCTCTGAGCGGTGCCCTGTGTCCCCTCTGCGGGGGGGGGGGGGGGGCCCAGGCCCCCTGGGAGCTAGACCTGGCTTCCAGCTGGGGGGTGCTGTGGGAATGACAGCGAACCACCTCTTCCACACCTGTCTGCCTGTGTTTCAGTGTTGCTTTCTTCCCGAGTTCCATTTCAGGCCAGAAGGCTGGTAACAAGGTGTTAACACTGAATAGGGACCCCAGGTCCATCCAGGCTTCTCGGGCAGGCCCCTGTGGCAGAGCACGGGGGGGGCGCCAACCTGGGCGAGGGTACGTGTCAGCTGGCCAGGTCACTCTGAGCGTGCCCTCGGAGCCCCTGTAGGACGTCTGTCCCCCGATATGCGGGCAGGGAGTGTGCAGCTGCGCTCTCCCGTGCTGAGCAGGCTGGGAGCCCCGCGCTCCGGCCCCCCTTTGGGGCTGCAGTGTGCCCAGAGTGGTCCGCAGACCAGCGCCTGTCCTGGTGCGAGTTTCACTTGTTTATGGGGAAATGAAAAAAAAAATTACATACTGGATGTTTTCAATGGGAAGCTTTTCTTACTCCAGTTTTGGTGTGACGATAGCTTTCTGGTGTTCAAGGTCGATGGTGACAGATGGTAGATAACCTTAAACATTTTCTTTCCCGGCAAACTAGAAATCTGGGCGCCCCGTGGAGGTCCCTTAAAAGTGCTTGAGCACCCTCGCTGGGCCGGGAAGCCCTGGAGTCCAGGGACGCGGCCCCGAGCGCCCTCCCGGGGCGGGGACCAGCGGGCGTGGGGCCCCCCTGCCTGCCTGGGAGTCAGGACCGCAACTTCGTGCCGGGAGGAGCGTGCCGCACTACCAGTGTCCTTCCCCGCCAGGCCGTGGCTCAGATCCTGCCCTTCCGCGACCAGAACCGCAAGGCCCTGGACGGCCTCTGGAATCGGCACCACGTGGAGCGGGTGGAGGTCGTCCTGAAGGAGACGCTGGACGCCGAAGGTGCGTGCGTGGGCCTCCTCGCCCTCCTCCTGCCCTGCGTCGGCGGACGCGCTGGGCCGGCCGGCGCCTCTGCCACCGCCTGCCGGTGTGCGCCGACCGCGCGGAGCCCCGGGGCGCCCGCAGGCAGACCGGAGAGGGGTCCTGGCTGCCCTCGGGGAGCGGGGGTCTGGTGAAGCACACGTGGCCCCCCCCACCCCCGGGTCGCTGGCCGACAGGGAGTGCTGGTGGCTCAGGCGGCAGGAGGCTCCCTGGCCCCGGTGACCAGCACACCCCCTCGCCCGCTGGTCCCGCCCGCTCTTAACCCTCCTCGAAGCTGTCACTTCCTCTAGGGGGCCTCTGCGGGGCGGCTAGGCAGGGTCCACTCCCGAGTGGCACTTGCGTGCTGTGTGCCTCCCTTCACTGCCCCTCCCGGTCTTCTCCTCCTTGTCCCCGCCCCCATCCTGGGCGTCTGTCCCAGCAGGCCGCAGGGCCCGGGCCACCCCCCGCTCGGGCTCCGGGCTCACCCCTGGAGTGTCGCCCCGGGTGTCGGAAGACCCGAGTGTCGGCCCGGCTCTGCCTTCGCCCGGGTGGCCTGGGCACGTCACCTCCTCCTCCGTGAGATGAGGCCCCCGGGAGCTCTGGCGCCCTGGGGCGTCCTCAGATGTTCTGAGCATGGAGACTGTCCACACGCAAGGCAATCACGAAAACAAATTCTTCTCGTGTCCTAATCCCCCCAGTAGCCAAACGAGGTGGGTGTGTTATTAGCCTCCACGGACAGATGAGGCTTGGTGACGTGCCCAAGGTCACCCGGTAGGAAGTGGTGGGGCCAGGTCCCGGGCGGGCGTTCTGGCTCCAGCGCCGGGCTCTGCACCCGACACGCAGCTCCCTGCAGACCAGACCCGCAGCCTGGGAAGGAGGGTCCCCGCCCACCCGCACCCCGCAGCGTGTGCCTGGGTGGGGTGGGGCCCCAGACCCCCCGAGGGCCTGGGTGCGGGGCTAGGAGGTCTGCCTCTTTCTCTGTGCCTTTTCCTCTTTTTTATTGTTTAAATTAAATAATTTAATGTAAATTATATTTTTCTCTTGGTGTCTCTCCAGCTTTCTCTCCCTTCTTCTTTGGATGTATATTTAGAGCTAGACGCTCTCCAGAGATACAGAGAGCAAGGGGACCCCACTTCTGTGCCCCGATGCCTCACCGATTCGCTGGGGGGAGAATGTATGGGGACAAACTCTGTGGGGGCAGGGAAGGGGGGTAGGGTGGGCTGGAGCCATCAGGCAGGACTCGGGGAGCCAGCCCAGAGGGCACTGCTGCCCTTGAGCAGAGCTGGGCTTCTCCAGTCGGGAACCCTTATTGGAAAAGAGGTCCCCACTGCAGTGAGCCTTTGGGGGTCTCGGGATGCCCCCAGCCCTTCCAGGTTTGTGCTGCTGTCCTCAGCAAGGGCTCGGGCCATTGGTGGGTTCCCTCCTTGTGCCTGTGTATGTCTGATGTCCTGGCAGGAGTGAGTGCTGGGCCTTGACGTTGCTCTGTCTGCAGGGAGATGAGCTGCAGACCCAGCGCTGAGAGCGTGAGGCGCAATGGGAGGAACCCTGCCACACCTGCTGTGGGAGCCAGCACCTGGCTCTGCTTGGAACTTGAACTTGGCCTGGTTACTGGCAGGGCTAGGCCGCCAGGACTCCCCCCGCCACCCCCTATTTTTGGCAGCTCCTTCCCGTGCCCACCGTGGGTTGGAGAAGATCCGTGATATCTGGAAATACCAGTGGGCACCGTTACCTCTTATTGCTTCTTGGATCGGCTGCCGTTTGTGGGTTTCTTTGCAGGATCCCTGTGGAGCCAGGGGCTAGGGGACGTGTAGCAGTGGTTCTTTCGGGTTTTGGAGAGGGGAAAACAGAAGGCAAGACAGGAAGACAGGCAGGGGCCTGGGCAGGTCTGGCTGTCAGGGCCAGCCTGGGGCAGGGAGGATCTCCTTGTGTGTGTCAGCACCGTGGGGGAGGGCGCGTGGAGGCCTTTGAGGCTGTGGCCGGAGCTCAGGCCCGGCTGCCTCACTGCAGTGTCCACGGTGCCTTCAGCCCAGCGGCCAAGAGACCCGGAGCAGGGCAGACACAGGGGGGCTGGTTCAGCCCCTGCCCTTGTCAGAGGTGGCCAGAGGACTGCAGCCGTCCTGGCGGCTGGGTCGCCCCAGCTGGCCTGTTTACCTGCCAGCTGAGCATTCAGGCCCAGAACAGTATGTAACGGGGGCGACTTCCTGCTACCGTGCTCAGTGGGGCCTGGGACACCCGTCCTTTGGCGACAGAGTGAGTTCTCTGTCTGTCTGTCTGTCTGTCTGTCTCCACCCCCTCGCCCCCACTGGGACCCAGAAGAACAGGCATTCTTCACATCCCGAGGAGGTGGCCTGGTGCAGCTCTGGTGCCCCAAGCGTTGATCCTGGCTGTCCCCTCCGGGTCCTGCTTTGGAGCCTGGGCCGTGGCCAGTAGACCCCGTGCACAGCACATGGGGGCCTCAGCGTGCCTTCTCCCGGGGTTGGGGACCGGAAGCGGGCAGGAGGGAGGACTGGCCTCCTGCTGGAGGTCCTGGTGCCTGCTGCAGTGGGACTGGGCGTGGCCAGCAGGCAGGCTCTGGGCCCGCATTCTGACCCACTAGCCAAAGGGCAAAGTGTGGCTGGTCTTCCCTCTGCAGCTGTCACCCCCACCCCACCCCCACCCTGGCAGCCCGCTCCAGCTTTCCCTTCCCTCCCGGTGGCCATTGTGCAGCCCCCACTGGGTCCTGTGCGGGGAGGCACTGACCTGGTCCCGCTGGCAGCCTGGCCGGCCCCTGGAGCGCTGGGAGGGGGTGGGGCTGTGAGCCAGGCCTGGAAGAGGAGCTCTTCCGGTCAGAGCAGCCGCCGTGGGCCCTGGGAAAGGGGCCTGCGGGCGGCAAGGTCCTTTGGGTGTCCCCACCCCCACGCACTCACATCCACGGGGTGGAGGCGGCTCCCCGGCTCCCTCCCTTTCGGCTGGGTGAGTGGTTTTTCCCTCCTTTCTGCCACAGCCTCTGGCCCAGGGGAGCGTGCTGCAGTGGCAGGTCTGCTGCATGGACAGCAGGGAGTGGGGGGAGACAGACAGACAGACAGACGTGGGAGGGTGGGGAGGAAAGGAAAAAGGACTCTCCCCACCAGTCCCCCAGTACGCAGCTCCCTCTGGCTCATCTGGGGCGCCCTCCTGGCCCGTCCCCACCCGGTGAGCCCCAGGGAGTCACAGACACCCCGGTACCCGGGTCTCCTGAAGCAGCACTAGGGAGTGACCTTGGCCGGGCCACTTGGCTTCTGCGTGCAGATGGCCCCTGCTGGCCCCTGTCACAGCCCCTCCCTGGGAAAGGCTCTGCCGAAAGCAGGCTAGGTCCCCAACAGACCGAGGCTGGCTCGGGAGGGTCCCTGTCCTGACACTGCGGAAGGGGCGCGATGCACCTTCCCTTCTGAGGGCTGGCGCGACCGCTCCGTGCCTCTCGCTGAGGGACGAGGCCGCCAGGACCCTCCCAGGTGCACGCCAGCTGTCCTGCCTTCCAGCCTGGTGTGTCCGGAAGGGCCGGGGCTCACGCAGCAGGGCAGCCCCCTGCCGGCTGCGGGCTGTTGCGGGAGGAGCTCCGGGCGGCTGTCAGGCTTCCCCGCCAGCCCACAGCTCTCTGCTCAGCCCAGCCCCCTTCTTTTTATTGTTAGTGATCCCAGAAGATACTCATGGGGATTGCAGCTAGTTTTCAGTTTACTGTGTTTTTAAATTCCTGTTTTTTTAGAAGATTTTATTTATTCATTTTTTTTTAGAGAGGGAAGGGAGGGAGGGAGAGAGAGAGAGGGAGAGAAACATCAATGTGCTGTTGCTAGGGGTTATGGCCTGCCACCCAGGCACGTGCCCTGACTAGGAATCGAACCTGCGATGCTTTGGTTCGCAGCCCGCGCTCAATCCACTGAGCTACACCAGCCAGGGCTTAAATCCCTGTTTTTACTGGGAAATTTTGGATCTCTCATAACGCGGAGGCAATAGCACAGGGTTTCTGGTCCCAGGTCCAAAGGTGTGGTCCTCAGCGCCGTCTCTGTTATACGAGGTCTGTCCAGATGGCCTCTAGTCACGTGTCATGAAAAATAGAGACGTTTATGGAAGAAGATACAAGAAACACTGTACACAGGACAATGACGCTTCAGTCCCCTTCAAAGCAGGCACCTTGGGGTCTCACACGGTTCTCCCAGTCGCCATCAGCTGCCCCATCATATTTTCCTGAATCTCATTGACAGTCTGAAATCTCTTCCCTTTCAAAGCTGATTTTAGTTTTGGGAAAAGCCAGCAGTCGCAGGGCCCCAAATCTGGGTGGCGGGGGGCTGAGTCACCTGGGTGATTTGATGTTTTGCAAAAAAACTGCATGCAACATGATACATGAGTAGCGCACATTGCTGTGATGAAGCTGCCCATCCCCAGTTGCCCATAGCTGCGGCCTTCTGAATCATCCAAATAGTTTCCACGGAGGAATGTTCAAACTGAACGCAAAATCTGATGCAGATTCACTGCTGTGCTCGCTCAGTCATTTTGAATGCGACGGCCACACAGTATGCATGCTCACTCAGTGGCGGCATCTAACGCCCCCCTTGACCAGTACAGTGAAGTCGTCATTGTTCACCTTTGAGCATTCCAGTCCGCTCCCCTGGGCTGCTAGGTTACATGGATGTCACACAAGCCATTCTTTTTTTTTTCTTTAAAGATTTTTTATTTATTTAGTTTTAGAGAGGGAAGGGAGGGGCAGAGAGAGAGAGAGAGAGAGAGAGAGAGAGAGAAACATCAATGTGCGGTTGCTGGGGGTTATGGCCTGCAACCCAGGCATGTACCCTGGCTGGGAATCGAACCTACGACACTTTGGTTCGCAGCCTGCGCTCAATCCACTGAGCTACGCCAGCCAGGGCTAGCCATTCTTGATATAGTAACAATGGCCGGACTTCTTCTAGACAGGCCTCCTCGAGTGACCATGACCCGCCGTTGCGTCTCTCTTGGGCTGTCCGGGGGGTTAA